CGGGGCCAACGGGCGCTTCAAAGTAAGATCAGGTCGAGGTGGCGAGGCAGCTGCGAGAGAGTAACCATCGGTGACAGCTCGAGGCTGACCAGCGCTGACGAGTGGGATCGTTGCTGGGCCTGGGGGGGTCTGACGGCCGCTTGCGTTTCCCCTGTCGGCGCTTTGTCTCCTCTTGTCAAGTTCCCGATGCCGCTCGGTGGCTCGCGCGCGCAGCCCTGGCAGAAGACGGCGCGGTGGCGCTCGAGGTCCTTCGCGGAGTGCGGTCCCTACTCATGGTCGCAAGCGGCATTCCAGACGCGCGAGCGCGCGTGTTCGAACGCGCGCGCGCGCGCGCGCGCGCAGACAGACGCGCAGACGCGCGCAGACAGACGCGCACACACACGCACACACACGCGCGCGCCACACAGCACGCACGCACGCACGCACGCGCGGACGCACGCGCGCGCGCGTGCGCACACGACACACCAGGCACGCACGCACGCGCGCACACACGCACGCATGTACGCGTCACGCGCGCGCACGTTCGCACGCGCGCGCGCGCGGGCGCGCGCGCACACGCATGCGCACGCGCGCGCGCGGACGTGCGCGCCCGCGCGCCCGCGCACACACGCGCACATCCGCATGCGCACACGCGCGCGCACGCGCGCAGACGCACGCACGCACACATGCACGCGCGTGCACGCACGCACGACGCACGCAGGCGCGCGCGCACGCACGCACGCACGCGCGCGCGCGCGCGCGCGCGCGCGCACGCACGCACACTCGCACGCACGCGAGAGCGAGCGCACTCGCGCGCGCACGCGCCCGCGCGCATTCGCGCGCGCACTCGCGCGCGCACGCGCGCGCGCACGCGCGCGCGCACGCACGCAGGCGCGCGCAAGCACGCAAGCACGCGCGCGCGCGCAAGCACGCGCGCACGCGCACACACACGCGTGCACGCCCGCACGTGCACGCGCGCGCGCACGCACGCGCGCGCAGGCGCACACACACGCGTGCACGCCCGCACGTGCACGCGCGCGCACGCACGCGCGCGCAGGCGCACGCGCGCGCACACGCAAGCACACGCGCACACGCACACACGCATATGCATGCGCACACGCGCACGCGCACATGCACGCGCACGCGCGCGCGCGCGCAAGCCCACGCACACCCGCACGCGCATATT